AATTCTGTTCCACCAGTCCGGGTTTCTGTTTTTGTTGCAGTACCATACTGTTTGATTGCTATTGCTGTGTAATATTGTTTGAAGTCAGGAAGTATGATGCCTCCGTTTTTCTTTTCTCGGGAGCATTGTAGTTATTTGGGACCTTTTGTGATTCCATATAATTTGATCTCATTTGTTCTATTTCCTTTAAAAAGTCACTGATATTTTGATAGGTATTGCATTAAATTTGTAAATTGCTTTGGGTAAAATTTGAATGATGTTAATAATTCTTCCTACCATGGATACATATAGCCTTTTATTTCCTTTCACAGAGTTCTATAATTTTCAATGTATAGGAATTTTCATCTCCTTCATTAAGTTTATTCTTAGGTATTCCATTTTTTGGGTCATTATAAATGGAACTATATTCCTTATTTCTTTCTTTCTAATACATTGTTTGCATATGCTATACCTGAGCGGAGAAAGTATTTATTGTACAAAAAAGGAAAAATGATATAAAATATATATAAATTTTTTTTTAAATGTCACTGATTTTTGTGTGTTGATTTTGTATCCAGTCTTCAGTTTTGTGATAGAATCTTTTGGTTTCTCTAATTATATTGACATATCATCTGCAAAGAGTGACAGTTATACTTTAACAATTTGGGTTCTTTGTCTTATTTTCTGGCCTTAATTGTGCCAGTTAGGACACAATATAGTTTCAGAACTATATTGAACAACAGTAATGATAATGAACATCCCCTGTCTTGTCCCTAATCTTTATGCAATGCTTTCAGTTTTTCACTATTGAATAAGATGTTCATAGTGGGCTTTAAATAATTACTTATAATAGTTAAATAGTTTTATTTAATCTTCTTTTTGGATAGTTTTATAATAAATGGATATTGGGTCTTTTCAAATGCTTTTTTAGAGTCTGTTGAGAAAACCATGTAGATTTTTCCTTCCTTTGTGTTGATCTGGTAAGTGACATTGATTTGCACATATTGCAAATCAGTAGAATGAAGGTTACCTGCTCGTTGTGGATGATCATTGCGGATGACTCTCCTGACATGTTGCTAGATTGGGTTTGCTAGGATTTTTGTTGAGGAGTTTTGCATTTGTTTTCATAGATATGTTGGTCTATAATTTCTTTCTGTACTATCTTTGTTTGCTTTTGTGTTCAGGGTATTGTTGGCTTCAGAACATGTTGGGGAGTTTTCCTCTCTGATATTATTGAAGATAATTATTGAAGATCATCTTGAGTAGGATAAGTATTAGGTCTTCTTTATAGGTTTAGTCCTGAGCTTTAGTCCATAAGGTGGCTTTTTATTCCTCTTTAAATTTTGTACTTGCTATTATTCAAGCTATTTCCCCTTGGTACAATCTGGGAAACTCATATGAATCTAAGAATTTGTTTCTTCTAGGTTGTCCAATATGTTTATGGCAGACTGTTATGATCCTGTGTATTTCTACTGTATCTGTTGAATTTTTCTTCTTTCATTTCTGATTCTATTAATTTGGGTTCTCTCTCTTCTTCATAAGCATAGCTGATGTTTTCCTGATTTTATTTTTTCAGAAGTAACATTTTTAATGGAGATGAAAAGCTGAGTTAAAGACACCAGATAAAGTAAGGGAAGGAAGAGGCAGTCATGCTTTAATCCTCTTATGCCCAGGCCCTCCGGTCCTCATCAACTCTAAATTCATGCAGAATCCAAACCCCCAAATCCCAGGGAACACCTGCAAGTATCTCCCAAGCTTCCACCCACAGTCAATCTTGCCCCCAGGCTGTCTCCTTTCTTCAGAAGCAGCCAAAGGTCCAACATGCAGCCAAGCAGCTTGAAGAAGCCAGCCAGAACCAAGACTCATAATTATAGTCTTTATGTAGGAGAGTACAGGGTTATTACAGTATCTCTGACCCAGAGTCAGCAGTGCTTAGTACACAGATAGCTTCTGTTGACCTCCTTTCAGGGGGACACAGTGTTTCTCCAACCAGTGTTCACGTGTACCGCCTAGCTGCCCAAACACCTCTGCTGTAAGGCCCCCTGGTGGAATTTCTGCCAGAAATGGAGGCAGTAGTTGTATAGACTTTGTGTGTACTTCACAAGTCTAACCTCAGTGTGGCATGCATTGTGCAGGCAACCCCTTTGTGAGACATACATGAAATGGTCACTGGCATTGGGCATGGTTGTTGGCTTTTATTTTATACCCACAGCATTTCAATATTTCACTTAAAGGTGAAAAAAAATAAACCTTTTTTTTTTCTTTTTTTGGAAGAATAACAAACAGAAAAAGTGTATGCGCATGTATAACTTGGTCATTTTTCACAGAGTAGACCCAGATCTAGCACCAAACAAGGTAACCTTCCAGAAACCTTCCACCCCTCTTCTTGTTACTGTCCACCCAGTAACTAGAAGTAACTTAACAGTAATCACCATTTTGGACTTCTAACACCATAGATTCGTTTTGGCTTTTTAGCTTTATAAAAATGAAATTTTTATTTCATTTTTTTTGTTTGTTTGTGAGATTCAGCCATGCTTTTTGCATTAGTTTATTCATATTGTTTTGTGTAGTATTATTTAGCTATATCAGAATTCATCTGTTGGTGGATGTCCAGTCATTCCCACATTTGGTGATTACAAATTGTGTCACTTTGAATAGTTATTTGTGTTTTTTTATGGACATATGCAAATTTGGGGGAAAGGAGCATATATACTGGTATTAGTTGTCTATTGTTACATGATAAGTTCCCCCCAAACTTAGTAGCTTATACCAAAATAAAGAATTCTCAAAGTTTAATGAGTGAAGAATTTGGGAGCAACATGGAAAGGCAGGTCTGGCTCAAGATCCAGTTTGAGGGTTAGTCATCCAAAGGCTAGAGTGAGCCTGTAGATCTGCTTTTAAGGCAGCTAACTCATGTGACTGGCAAATTGGTGCTTACTGGCCGGGGGAGAGGAGCCTCAGTTGCTTCATGTGGAAGTTCCCTAAGATTACCTGTGTGTCCTCATAACATGGCATGTGGCTTTCCCTGAAATGAGTGGTCAAAGAGAGAGCGAGTCAAGGTGAAGCTACATCCTTTGTATTCTTAGCTTTGTCAGTCATGTAGCCTCACTGCTCCCTCAAGGGAGCCACTAAACAACCCATCATCCATATTTCATCTTCAGAAAGGAGGAAAGGCAAAGAATGTGTGAACATAGTTTATAATCAATAAACGTCACAGCATTTTAAAGCTTGAAAGTAATCCATGCTACAGCTCTAAGAACAATACATCTGTAGAAACAGGCACCAGCATCTAAGTACATTTAACCTAGATTCTTCTATTTACTTAAAATTTTATGTTCGTAGAAAAGTTTTCAAGGTATTTCTTGGAGATAGCATGAAATAATAGAAAGCACAATGTTTTTAGAATCGGACACCTCAAATTTGAATCCTGAATTTGCTAATCACATAATTCACTGCTCACTAATTATTAGTAGTGAGTTATGCCTATTTGGGCAAGTATTCCTCTTAGAGTCTCACATTTTATCAATTCCCACTTTACAGTGGGGAAAAGCAGAAGTGCTTGTTTCATGTTGTCGTGGAAGGTGTAATTAAATGGCATAACATGATGGGAGGCTCCTTCTGTTCATTGATCAAGAGGTTAGTTATCTATTAACCATGTCAGTTCTCTAGAAGGTGCTGTGATGACCCCGGTGAGTGCTACAAAACTGACTCAGACAGAGCTTCCTGTCAAGAAGCATAGCCTCTAATAGGGTCATTGACAGATAGGATAACTGTAATATTTGAGAAAATGATTAGTGTCTGGGCCAGATATGGACACAATTCTCTAAATAAGAATCAAGTTTGGATATACAGAAATGGGAGAAATTTTGAGGGTCCAAGAAAGGACAAATTCCAAATCAGGAGTAACAACTCAAATAAAGACAAAGCTAGGGGACATGAAATGAGAGTAACAGAGCAATTATTACAAATAAGATTTAAACATAAGTCAGATGAGAGGAGGTATAGAGGTTGAAATGGTAATTGTGTATCAGAGTAACAGGAAAAGACAGAGAGTACACAGTTTAATAATCTGATAAAAAAAAAAAGCGTTAAAACCAAAGATTATCTTAACCAATTTTTAGAGTTGACTATGAGAGCTGGGCAGGCCCAGCTACTGATGCATCTACTTGCTGTGCTTTTCTTGGCTAACTCCCGTTTGTAGGATCTTTGAGCCTCACATTGTAAACAGAACTTTCTCAAACTGATCATTAATGAACACTTCTGACTCAGCCCAAGCAAATGAGCTTTGTCCTTATTATTCCCATTTTGGAGGCTACAGCAGCGGGGAAAGAGAGTGGGAGTGTTTTATATAGGCCCTTTGCTCATTGTAAATGGACTTCTCAAGACTTGGCCATTTGGGATGGCCAATTCATGTATTCTGTATGACCTCTATTGCCAGATAATGAGCCATTCTTTCTCTTTATTTCCCCCCAAGAAAACTAATCTACTTAGGAACCTTCACATCTGTGACATTCTCCAGTCACAGGCAGCGATGATATTTATACATAAGACAGAGACATTTCGATGCTATGATGGAAGTTTGAAGGAAGTTGGAGTCAATGACCTTACACTTTGAAGCCAAAGAAAAATAAGCACAAATATTTCAGTCTTGCTAAAGTAGAGCAGATAGATTAACAGAAAGACTTCTTCTTGTCTCACTATTCAATATCTGGCACCCTAAGCTTTTATGTACTCAATCTATGTCTTCTGTTGCACTCCTCCCACACACATACATAATTCATTCTTGGTGCTTTTCTCGATACATAGGAGATGTATTACATTATTAGCTTTTATTCTAAATGAATTCTAGAGCATGAAAGGAAAAGATGGGTTATGCTTTTGGGATAAAATTCAGAGACAGCCTTTTGTTGAAACTTCTCACGTTCCCCAGTAGATGTTCATTCCACATTGACACTGCACATGACAGGAAATGTTCTATGCACAGATGCTCAGGGTTCTCTTCTTCTCTGATTTCTCCCCAGGTGGGAAATAGGCAAGTGGAGTCCATGCAGTCTCACCTGTGGGGTTGGCTTGCAGACCAGAGATGTCTTCTGCTCCCACCTACTCTCCAGGGAAATGAATGAAACCGTAATCCTGGCTGATGAGCTGTGTCGCCAGCCCAAGCCCAGTACAGTGCAAGCTTGTAACCGCTTCAACTGCCCCCCAGCCTGGTACCCTGCACAGTGGCAGCCGGTGAGTTCTGATCATGCACAATATTGGAATAACTCAGGATGGGGGTGAGCTCTCAAAGGCATGTTGTCCCATTAAAGGACTATCCAGGTCTGTTCATTTCTCCCATCTTAGTACAACTCCAACCTTATTCCAAAGTAGACATTTTCGTTTTAAATTCTTTATTCTTCCCACTGTACCTACCCATGGTGCTCCAGAAGCAACTCATATAATCCATTTGTTACCTGAACATATTCATGAAAAAGTTTTCAGCAAGCTCAGGGAAAGAAAATTCAAAAAAAGAACAATGTATTGGGTTTTCCAAAAAGCTAAATCAGTGGTGGATTTTTGTCCTTTCTAGTTTTCTTTTGCTGTTTAAAAATGTAAGAGATAAAAGTACTAGGCAGTGTTTTTCTTTCTTTTTTTTTTTTAAGATTTATTTATTTATGCATACAGAACTGGGGTACAGGCCAGAGGTGCAGGGGTGGTGAGAGGCCTCACCAGAGACAGGGGAGCAGAACAAGCAGATTGACAAAGTACACTGCTGAGGGTAGCAGTGGGCGGGCCAGGAGAAGACTGCTGCACCATGTGGGTCACCTCCGGGGCCAGGGATTGAACTCATGCTGAAGTGGCTTTAGCCTGTTAGTGCCGTGCTTTAACCTGCTGTGCCATCAAGGAGGGCCTCTTTCTTTTTTAATAAAACCTAATTTTGCAGCAAAGAAAAGGGTAAGAAATCCTGAGTCAATTCTAGAATTTTAAAATTTCTCGGTCATAGGAATTTTCAAAGTAGAAACTATTGCTTTCAAGCTGATGAACCAAATGCAGCTTGCAGCTGGATGTTGTAAACAATGTTTTATTGAAACATAGTCACATCCTTTCCTTTATGTGTTATCTACCACTTTGGCACAACCAGAGCAGAACCTGTGACAGAGACCTTCAGGGCCATGAAACAGATAATATCTACTCTGTCTTTTTATAAAATGTACTGACCCCTCACTAAAGCAGGCACTATAGTAATAAAGTCACAATTATCTTATCATAATACCTGAAATAAGTAATATCTGCTGATTAAACTAGTTAAGTAGAATTTCACATGCTTTTAAATAACACAGGATTTTAAATTATATAGGTAGAATCGTATTTTGCAGTTTCCTCCCCATCAAAATATCGGAGATAGTAACAACAAAGGTGGCAAAAATATGCTAAAAAGAAAGGTGAAGGGGGCGGTACAGGCACATTCATTGAAACAGCCTTTCACTCTCGAAGTATCACAAATAGAATGCTCGCCTCTGTGGGTATCCAACTGAGGAGGGGAGCAGAGCCTCTCGCAGCCCCTCACTTTTCATATGAGCCACTTCTCCCCCATGGAGGTTCATAGCCCATTGCCAGGGTCTGCCTTCCCCATGCTACTCCTGGGGTTGTGATTTAGTAAATTGCTCAAATAATCAAATCGTCATCAGTGAGCAGAACACTTAACTATAAAGCCTCTAGAAAAAGATATTTTTTATATTTTCTTTTAGTGCTGACATGTATTATTGGTAAAGGTCATAATTCCATGCTGCTGTATGATAGCTTGTGGAAATCAAAAGTTTATTCTGTATTTTGAACACCTATGTAACCAGAGTTTTCTTAAGACATATGTCATTACTCATTTAACCAAAAATAATACAATGATTCAGGAAATGTGAGTTTTATGAGCTTCATTTTGGGTTTGAGAAAACTGAGGCTCACACAGCTAGCAAGTTTAGGATTGGCCATTAGCTTCATTTTACAGTGGTCCTTTCCACTGTACCCCATTGTTGAAGGTAGTTATTTCTTGATGGGTCCTTGAGATTATATGCCTTACCCTGGGGAAGTTATGTCCAGAACCCAGATATTCTGACTTTAATATATGTATCCTATTCACTTTAACTGGATGATTTTAACTGCACCACTAGTGTATGCTAACTCTTAAGGAAAGACCACATATCAGCCCAAGTCAGTCTCCAACTGCTTGAGGCATTAAATCCCTATATTATTAACTGTCGCTGCAGATTCAGAATAAAATGTTTCTTGAGCAACAAAATCATTGAAAATATAACCTATACCACTCCACAAGTCCTGAAATTTCTGACTTTATACTCTATTAATGTTTGTTTTATGAATAAACTTCCTAATACTGACTTAGCAGTGACATTCAGTGACACATCAGCCACTGCTGAATAGTAGCAGTGAGCCCTGCTGTTCATGTTTAAGCACATCCATACACATACCTGTCTTTTTTTATTGCCACCACCTATACACACCATGACCCTGTTTGCAATCGTAGTTTTCCAAAGGGTCAGTGTATTCTTCTCTTTTCCCTTCTACCGTGGACTTGTTAAAACATTTGAATAAACTCTCTCTTTCACTCCATTAGGGAGAAATCTTTGAGGGATGAGTCAACTTTAAGTCCAATACTTTAAAGTTCATGCCAACAAGCCACTGACTATACCTTACTAGGACCTTTAGAAAGTGTCTTATTTTATACCTAATACATAATAGCTGTGAGAAATAATCAAATGGAGCAAGAAGTAAAGCACATAGAAAGTGAACGCCATTGCCAGTGACTCTATCCTCCACTGAAAACCGCCTGAAGCATGTGGGGCCTAGAGTCTATTTAAAGAGAACTTGGTCACATTTATGAAGTTCTCTAAACCCTGAGGAAACAGTAGATTATCCTTATATGATTTCCTAGAATCCTACATCTTTGCCTACACGGCTTCGCTGGGCAAAACCAGTTACTACTGACCACTTGTTTAAGCAAGGCCTGGCTTCTGCTGTGAGGAAGAATCCAAGAGGAGCTTAGCTGTCCCTGAGATAATTGGCTGCTTTTAGGGACTGCTTAGTGAAGATCCCAGCTGCTGAGGGCTCATTTGCCTGCTTAGCTTCCAGCTCCTTGGCAACCTACTATGCTCTCACTTGGTCTTTTCCCTCGAGCTGCTTCCATCAGCCAAAGGAGAGTGCTGAGGCCTCTACTCTTCCAAGGCCCAGTCCTTTTTCATAGGAAAGAAAAGGAAATGCGGGTCAGAGGCTTCCTTGGAAGGAAGACATACAGCCTGCTGGACATTGGGTTGCCTCTGTCCCCCACCATTTGAATGGAGCTACCACTTGCCTCATACTTTTTTTTCCCTCCTGGAAGTAAAAAAGTAACATGTCACATGAAATGTTTTTTCCCTATTTAGGAATGCAACCTCCTTTTTCTTGTGTAGAGAGTTTTTGCATAACAGATGGAAAATTGCCAATAATATACTTTCTCCAGGTCTGGAGGGGACCAGCATGGAGTCTAGGTATTTATGAGAAAATTTTATTTTGTAAAGAAGTAAGCAGTAATAAAGTAGAAAATTAATTCTCACTTTGGCTTCTAGGGGCTTCTTCAGTTCTATCTCTTACTCAAGGCTGGACCCCCTGGTTTTTACTCAGATCTTATATGAAGGACTTCTTTTATCAGTTTAGCTTTAAAAAAATCTTTACAGAGTTAATGCATTACTGAATTCTCTCTACTCAGTATACACTCAGAATCATCGGCATCATTATCTCTGGTATTGCCTATAGGAAGTCATTTCATGCTGGAGCTTTAGTCCTGTGATTGAGAGCTGATGTTATATGTGCCACTAGTAAGTCTAACACCTGGCTCGTGTCAGTCTTCAGGACTTTATGTTTTGCAGCAAGTCTCATTGCCCTAGTTAGGACTTCATTTGACTTCATTTGTCTGCCCTGGCCATCTCCAGTCACAGATTGCCCATCCCAGCTTGCCCATCCTATCTGCCCACACTTCTCCCAGCCCATGTGCAGTTCCCTCACTCTTTGCCTGACAGAGCTGGGCAGGAGCCCTATCTCTTTTGCTGGGTCTCTGCTGTCCTTGTACCCTGAAGCAGAATAGCGTTCATGGTCAGCACTGCTCACCTAACAGTCACACCTCGTGACTTGAGTAGGGCCCTTCTCCTCACCTGAGTTAGACCATCAAGTCAGTGAGGGCAGAGGAAGACCACATGATCCTGGTATGTGACAGAGATGTGTGTGACAGAAACAGTGCTGAAGTCTGTCTGCTGCTGCTCTAGATGGCCACTCTGATGTCATTTATTGAACATTTACTACGTTTACTTCTCTATTAAATAAAAGCAGCACTCTAAGAGCCACGCACAGTTCTGGGCACTTTATGTATTGAACTCATTGAATTCTTACTATCCTTTGTGATAGTTACCACTTTGACTCCCACTGTACAGATGAGGAAGCTGCAGATTGTGAGGTCAACATGAATTCAGACTGAGGCTGAACTTATGTTCCACTGCTCCTGCATTTTCTCTTTTTACCCCCACAGCAAACCTGTGAAGGAGCCAGACTCATAGAGACTCTGCTGGCCCCAAATCACACAGTCAGTAAATGGAAGATAGGCCCCGTGTGCTTCAGAACCCATTCTCTTTTCCTTCTCCTCATGCAGCTTTCCCAAAGCTGTTTTACCATTTGCTCTAAAGTATTAAATTGTGAGGAAATTTGATACCAGTCTTAAAATCGGCAGTTTACATAACACTCAGCATTTGTTGCCTTATCCAATGCAGGACCATTAATCTGTGTGTGTTTCCTATTGCTGCTATAAGAAATTACCACACATGTAGAGGCTTAAAACAGCATGAATTTACTTGTTGTAGCTCTGGAGGTCAGAAGTCTGAAATCAGTTTCACTTAGCTAACATCAAGGTGTCTGCAGACTGCAATCCTTCGGGAGCCTCTAGGGGAGAATCTATTACTTTGCCTCTGCCAGCTTCTAGGCGCCACCTGCTTCCTTGGCTCACGGCCCCTTCCCCCACCTTCCACATGCTTCATTCCAACTCCTGATTCTGTCGGTGCATCCTCTCTCTCTGACTTGATCCTCAGGTCACACTCTTATAAAGACCATTGTGATTACATTAAACCCAGCTGGATAATCCCAGTAAGCCCTCCATCTCAAAGCACTTAATTTAATCACATCTGCAAAGTTCCCCTGACCGTGTAAGTTTCCAGGGATTA